TACGTGCATGTAATTATGTATGTATGTAGGTATGCACGCATGCATGCATGTTGTATGTATGATGTATGTATGTATGTATGTATGTATGTATGTACGTACGTACGTATGTGTATATATATATATATATTTATTTATATATTAGATAGGATGTATGATATACCTGACGCCTGCGCGTGCACATCACACACAGACATCAGTGTGCAGCTTTCTTGGCTTTGGAACCAAATCCCAACATGAAGAGATCACGACTGACCTTAGTCCTGGAAGCTTACACGCTCCCTCCGTCAATAGAATCGCCAGTGTGACGTGCAAACTGGGGCTGGTCTCGTTCGACTCTCCAGAGTCACTCGGGGCTGGTTCGGTCAGGCAGGGTAGTTCAACGGGTAGAACCCTAAACCCTAAACCCTAAACCCTAAACGTCGAAAATTGATTACTCCTTGACCCAACGCAAGAGTCCCAAGTGCAACAGTCGGCAGCACGAGTTCCAATTACAACATTCGGCAATGCACAGCTGAAAAGTTCAAGGTGCAAACGTAAAGAATCGCGCTCCGCCGGCTTCTGCTGCTGCGAATTCAGCTTAAGGCACTAGGTTTACTGCAGAGCACTTTGTGCCTCGACGCTCGTGAGGTTACCTGGCATGGTGCAAGTACAAACAACCAATACTGACCAAAACCCTAAGCGTAAACAAATACCCTAATGAAACCCCGAACCCTCAACCAATATGCTCACAGATCAAACTGAGGCAGTCGGCGTCGGCCGATAGCATGCGCGGAACTTGACTGAACGCTTTCTGGCCGCTGGGGCAACGCATTGGGTGCTTAAACTCTCATCCTTGAACCCTCTTCTTCAAAACTTTATAAACTTTGGGATCTACTTCCACTAGTTTTAGGGTGTAGGAATATAGCTCATCGAAAGGAAAACAAGAGAGTCGAGTATGATATGATACGATGTTGAGGGTGGCTTAAGCCCATCTCCTCGGCATCTTCAGCTGCAGTAGCATGGGTGTAGTTTGGCACGTTGGTTTACGGTTTAGGGTTTAGGGACACCTTTCCCTAAGGCCATCACGCATTTGTTTCTTGGCCCACAAAACGACCTAAACCCTAAACCCTAAACCCTCAGCGCCAAACCCCACAAAACGACCTGAAAACCGAAGCCCTTCAAGCCTTTCAGCACCGCAGTATCATGGGAGCCTCAAAAGCCATCAAGAGCCTTCCTAGAGGTTTTAAGCACCCTAACCCCAAAGCCCAGAAGCCATTCTTCACTTTTCGTAATCCTTACAGTACCTTGAAACTAATATAGAAGCCCTTGCCCATATGGTAACCCTTAATGTAGGGGCTTCAATAACTACCAATACTATTTTGGAGGTTCCTTATCATAATTATCGTATAATGGGCCCCAAAACCCTATTTCAATATCTATTGCCCCTGTATTATCTACCCTAAACCCCAAAACCCTAAGCCCCAAACCCTAAACCCTAAACCCTAAACCCTAAACCCAAACCCTTATACAAACCCTTCTAGGCACCCCAACTGCCCTCCGGTCGCTAAGTCCCTGTACTTTTCCGGATTCGGGGAGATGAGCCTCGGTAGACGCTTTATGCTCCTCCGTGGCATCGTGGAGTTTCTTTTTTTAAATAGGTGCGTTTTTTGAAGTGCTTTCGGATGTAGTTTTCTTTAAGAAGCTCTTGGAAGATTTGTTGGGTGATTCTTGGCCGGGTTTCGTTTTCTACTCCTAGCCTTGCATTCGGGTTTTGTGTTGACCTTTTGTGAAAGGATTGCGCAGCACAAGGTTTCATAGGGATGCTTTGAGGGTTTGTGTTGTGAGCTTGCCAAGAAGCACTGGCAGCAGGGCCTACTGAGTCACATCACGAGTAGTTGCAGTAATAAGAGCTCCGAACATGAACACGGGCGATGCTCACGAGCAGCGGCGATCTCTTGACTAGCCCCGCCGGGAAGACACTTGCAATCTTGAGCTTGAACCCAAAGCCCTTAAGCCCCAAGACCCTAAACCCCTAAACCCTACGCCCTAAACCCCAAAGCCCCTAAGACCATCTAGCCACTAAGATGGACAGTGATATCGTCGGACCCATGAGTTTCATGTGTGTACTGGTAGGACTGGTAGGAGTGATAGTGCAGACTTCAGAAGGAGGATGCGAATGATACTGTACTGTAATATATTATAACATACTACAAAGATGCTACGATTGCCTGGGTCTGACATACAGCAAGAGCTGTGAGGCTGATGTTGGTTCTGTTCAAGAAGAGACAGGTCAAGAGGTTGTAGACAAGGACGAGTGAGAAGGATGGTGGTGTTGGTGCTGCAGCTGCCGCTGATGCCGGTGAGCAGGGCGGTCGCGCTATCATGAATATACAGAATGAGAATGACGACGATATTGATTATGCTGATGGACAGGATGGACCATCGTCATCGCCCTATCATCGCAACAGCTGTCGCCAACATGTCGACCTTCGTTGCAGACCCCGTGCCCACCCCAGACTTCCACAGAGTCATTCATGGCCCAGCTTAAGACTTCGAACCTGTCTAGCACCCTACCCCAAATCTTACACCTTACCTCGTGAAGCGAGGCTGCCAAAACATCTGTGCCCGACCTGCTGCCAATACGGTATCGGACGCCTGCGGGTCATGCTGGTGATTTGCTCAGCACTGGCAGCAGTGGCAAGCTTCTGAAGTCATGAAGAACACTGCAACTCGATGGGGACCGAGCCACAAGCGGCATTTAAGAAACGGCAAGAGGCACAACAACACCAACGAGCAATCATAGTACTTGCAGTAGTAGTAGTAGTAG